GTTTTCTGAATATTCTAAATGTTCTTAATTTTTTTTATTATCACCTCATTTTCCTTGCTGATATTTAGATTTTCAAAAAGTTTACAATTTTTCAATGTTCTTATATATTTTGAGAGATTTCCATATTTTCTATATGTTCTTAAATTTCACGATTTTCTTTTTGTTTTAGTTGCTCTTTTTCAATCTATTTGATCTACTTTCCTAATTTGATGTAGTTTTCTGAATATTCTAAATATTCTAAATGTTCTTAATTTTTTTATTATCACCTCATTTTCCTTGCTTATATTTAGATTTTCAAAAAGTTTACAATTTTTCAATGTTCTTATATAGTTTGAGAGATTTCCATATTTTCTATATGTTCTTAATTTTCACGATTTTCTTTTTGTTTTAGTTGTCTTAACGTACTCAATTTTTCAAATTATCTATTTTTTTTTTATAATATTTTAAATTGTATTATTTTGTTAATTGCTTTAGTTTTCTTAATTGCCTCAATTTTCTAAATTACTTCTCTAAATTTGCGATATATTCTTAACTTTCACAAATGGAAAACTTTGAAAGTCCTCAATATTTTCTAATTATGTTTTTACTTTTCACATATTTAAAAAAATCAATTATCTTAATTTTTCTAAATTTTGTCAATTCTATAATTTTACAAAAAAATCAGAAATATTCACTCTTCTCAATTAACGATTTTTGTTAATTTAATTTGTTATAGTTTCTCGAGTTTAGATGAATATTATCTATTTTTTTTTAGTATTGCAACAAAATTGTTATTGGAAGAGTTTTGTAAATTTGATTAGATATTCTTTGAACAGGTGCGAATCATGTTGCATAAGTTTTACCGATGCACCGGCCCGAATTTCTCCGAACCGTGTCGAGACGCGCCGTAATTATTATATAACATTCCGCGGTTCCGCAATTTCTCTCTCATGCTGTGTGTGTGTGTGTGTGTCAGTAAAAATTAAATAAAGAAAGAAAGAAATAAATAAATAAAACGAAATAACAGGTAAACACAATAAAAGGTTCAACGATTATATAACGGATTGGATAATCGGTTGGCCAAGTCGGAGAATTTGTCTCTCTGCATTGCAAGATCAACTCGATCCTTTCTATCTCTTTCTCTCGCTCAATCCAATAATAATTGCCGTGTGTGTTTGCTGTTGTTGGATAATGGATTTGGTAAATAGAGGAAGAGAGGTTAATTAGTTAAGAGACGCCTCGGGTTTTCCGCTGAATCCGTAACATCATCATCATCAACATCAACATAATCCAATATTTCCCTATGTTAATTCTATTGGTTTTTATTTGTTAACAATTCTCCGCTCGTTTTATTCCAAAGAGGAAGAAACGGCTGGAAACGAAGAAATTGTTACCCAAGACGCGTATTTTCACTTTCATTAGTTTTATTTATATGAACTGCGATTATAAACCGATATCTGACACGGTTTCCGCACTCGGTTTATCCCCAGTTATCGTTACATAATCGACCTCGTCTGCGAGTGTTATCAATTGTGCCGAATTCTTGAAAAAATATATGCCGTTTTTCTTAGCACGAAATTTCTTTTGACGCCTTTAATTTGTGGCATTTTTTTTTGTCTGTTCAAATTGCATTTCAAGGGCGATGCGATGCGAAATGTCCGTCAATGTCGAGGAAATTATGACAGTTTTCGTAACGTTTTTGGAGTGTAGTGGTGTAGTGTAAACAGACGGAATTAGAAAGCTAGCAACGACCTTAGATATACACAGCGTTCGCAAAGAACAGAAGTCAATCCACCTATATAAATATATATATGTTCAATTTACAAATCTCACCTAATTAAACTGGTTTTTTTTTTGTAGCCAAAAAATATTAACTAATTATTATTTCGGTATTTCAACCTTGCGGTGTTTCCTATTTACTTCCTTCATATAAACTTCCTCTTTTTTAATAACATCCTCATTCTTTGACGTTTTGTTTTTAACCAGTTTCCAAAACTTGATCAAAATTTACTTCAATTTTAAAACGATTATGTTTTTTCTCTCTCTCTCTCTCAATATAAATTACATAAACATGGGAACGTATGGATTTTGATGTATTATACAATTTGTTTTTGTTACACAAAACGTAAGAATATATTTTTGTTTGCAAAAAAAGAAACATAATTTCACCTTGATCGTTTAGCTGCTGACACAAATCAATTTATTAGTGAATTTCATTAAACTTTAAATTTTTTTTTAAAGATATTTATGGAAAAACTGAATATTATTATTATCCTTTATCAAACTTTAATTATTTGATGCATTTTGTTTATTACTAATATTATTTTTTTTATAAAGTAATTTCATATAAAATATTAATTTTCAAGGGGAAAAAATTACCCAAAAGCGTTATTTTTTTTAAACCCGGCGCATCCACCGATTAGCATAAGCTTTCCTGAAAAATTATTATTTTTTTTGTAAATATCAACAAAACAATCCCAAATTTTAAAATATTTTTACTGTGTAATAGTAATTGCAAAATTGCGTTAGTTTTCTTAACTTTTAATTAATTCGATAAGTTTTTCTGAAAATTTCAGCTTTTTTGTTGCACTTTATAATTTCAGGTAAAAATAGTAATTGTGAAATTTACTGGATTTAGAAAATAGACAAAGTTATTTTTTTTTTAAACTGCATTTGAATAATTGAAAAATACGGATTTTATTTGTTTTAGAAAGGAAACATGATTAGAATCGTCGAAAGTTAATGAGATTTAGGACCAATTGTCTTAAATTTTTAAATATTTTTAATATGAAATAGTAATTGCAAAATTGCCTTAGTTTTCTTAATTTTTAATTATTTTTTTCTGAAAATTTCAGTTTTTTTTTGCACTTTAAATATATAATTTCAGGTAAAAATATTGATTGTGAAATTTACTCGATTTATAAAATAGACAAAGTTCATTTAAATAATTTGAAAAATACGGATTTAATGGTAAACATAATTAGAATCTTCGAAAGTGAATGAGATTTTAGATATTAAATTGTTGGAATTGGTAAATACTTAAATCACGCATTTCATTGCGTGTTTACACTGAATGTTATTGAACCTTTCGAAAAACAAACGTCGAAATTATCATATCAGGTTATTGAAATATTTCGATGTTATTTATTAAATCTTCGAGTTAATTAATTAATATTAAAACATTATAATTTCAAATGTAAGAAGCCTTGGAGAATGTACCAATTTCCTTGGTTCAACGTCTTCTGTTTCGTGCAAAACAAAGATCAAGGAAAATACGGTAATAAACGTTCATATTAGAAAACCATATTTTCATACAGTTCACTTCCTCAAACAATATTTCAATGAATCTTAAACAAGGGTTAAGATATTGAAATATTGGAATGAATAATTCAACAATGGAAATATTACGTGATATTAGTAGAATTTTGATTGGAAATGTCAAGGTTTTTTGATTATTTGAATTGATTGTTCCACTTTCTTCTTAAAACTTAATCATTCTCTCGCGTGCGTTCTGTTACGAAAGCAATGGATTTCGGGATTAACGTTTGCTTAACTTTTCCGGATGCAGAGAAGAAACGCGTTTCTAAACAAATAGGCGCACGTTTTTCAAGCGTGTTTTTTTGATATTATTTTTCATTTCAGAATGAAAGTGTCAGTAACATTTGATCTTTGCCATCTGCGTTTTTTTTTGATAATTACATATTATAAATAAAGTGTGTCGTCGTCGTAACGCCTGAACTTGACCTTCTTTCGGTTCACATCTGCTCGTGCGCCGGGCACGACTTCTGTAGAAAGAAAATACAAGTGAAAGCGTCTTCGGGCGGGAAAAAGAAACGGCTTATGTAACGCGTGCATTTGCTCGATTATGCAATCAGATGCGCTGAAAAGTTCGATACTGATACTGCGGATCGATCTGTAACGTTTTCGTTGCTAGAATTTTCGTGTGCCTTTTTTTTCTTAGTTACTCGTTACGACGAGGAAGAAATTTCGAAGTCCATTTGTGCAATCGTTGCGTGCCATTACGTAAACCCCCGGTTACGTTCGTTCGAGCGGCGCGCGCTCGAGATTAATTCGCGGAATGTACGAAATCGCGTCGAATTCTCGTTATCGTTGCTCCTTTTATCCTCTTTCGGGTGGCAAATTCATTTGCACGAACAACAAACACATCTTACAGCTTAAGTCTTAAGCTATTATAGGAGTCGTCGACGTCTTTTGTTCCAATTGCTGTGAGAGAGCTACGCGCTCTTTGATTCCGATTCCTCGTGTTGCGACACGACAGTTAATTTTTGCGCTCCTTCGTCAAATTATTGATCATTATTTGTTACCATAGTTACTATGCTAACTTCACACGTAACGATGCATTATCTCCGATTTCCTGGATTCAAGTCCA